TTAAAAATACATTGTTGCCTGTACTATACTGGGGAGATGGAGGCTGTGAGATTAAAGTTCAAGATCCTCATTGGCTATATAACAAGCTCTCTCTCTCTCTCTCTCTCTCTCTCTCTCTCTCTCTCTCTCTCTCTGTGTATGTGGTATGTGCATGGCTGTTCATGCATGTGGAGGCCAGAGGAGGACATTGAGTGTCCTGTTCTGTCTGTCTCTGCCTCATTCCTTTAAGACCAGATCCCTCACTGAATCTGGAACTAGGCTGGTGGTCAGTGAGCTCCAGTGGTTCTTTGGTCTCTGTATCTCACATCACTGGGGTTATAGCTTTGTGCCCCATGCCTAGCTTTTTAAATGGGGGTTCAAGATTCAAACTCAGATCCTCATGCTTGTGCAGTAAGCACTTTTCCCCACTGAGCATCCCCCCAGCTCCCCAAAAGCCCATGTGTTAAAGCCTTAGTCCCCAGATAGTGTATTGAGAGGTGATGGAGCCTTCTAGGAGGTGGGGCCTGGTGAGAGATCTTCCTGTTGTTGGGGTGTGCCTTTGAAGGGGATAATTGGACACCAGTCCCTCTGACTTCTTTTTTTTTTTTTTTTGCATCCTGGACTTAAGTCTAAATACAATTGAGCTAGTTGGTCATGGACTGAAAGCTCTGGAAATAAGACCAAAATAAATTTTAATCACCTTATAAGTTGGTTGCTTCTAATATTTGTTACAGGGATACAACAAATGCTCCTGGGGAGCTCCTGGGGAGAAATACATGTATCCCTGGCTTGTGGTAGAGGAACTGTTTCATTTCTAGGTGAGACCCATCAGGAAGGACATTCTTCAGTCTTCCTGAAAAGAAGGCAAGAAATGGACCATGGTTGGGTGTGGGACTTTCCTACCAATGAAATTTAGCACTGGTACAAGGCTCCTGTGCAGAGTATATGATAAAACACACAAAGAGAAAGCTGTACATCTTTAAAATTTCTGCAGTGGTACAGAGGCGAGAGGGCAGGGACAAAGACTGAGAAGTTAGATTAGTTCACCCAGAAGAACAGAGACATGATACCAGCACAGAAAAGCCGCTGTTAGTGGGGCAGAGTTGTTAAGACTGTGCAGGTCTGTTCACCAAAGGTCAAAGTTACTAGGCAGGAAACGTTGACCAGTTGTTTAAAGTGTTTTTCTTCTCCAAGCTATCAGTCTATTCCTCAGCTCACATACCTGTGGTTTGGCAGGCTCCGACAGCATGAGGTGGTGAGTGGTAAGCCTGTGTGTGAACTGCAACTCCCTCACAGACAAACTGGAGTTAATGCTTCTGTGCTTGGACGCCAAACAGAGAGGCCAGTTTTGAGCTCTTTTGCCAACGATCAAATTATCATTATTTCTGGGATAAGCTGGTTTTAGGATGATTTCTTTTCCTCTTCCAAATGAGTCCTAGTACAATGATTTGAGCAAAATTTGAATTGTGCTTGTTTTACGCCAGCTATCTAGAAATTGAATCATGACTGAAAGAATATCCTTATAGTCGGGAAATTTTACTAAGAGACTTTAAAAACCTTTCTATGATGCCAGGCAAAATTCAGAAGCAACTAGAATTCCTTGGCTTCCTCTTATCCAGCCCCCACATCAAATGTATCACGAATTTTCCCTGTATCCATTCTAATAATGGCCGGGTCTTCTCATTCGTTCAGTGACTGACTCTTCCCTTAGCCACTATTACCTCTCCACCAAATTATCTTAATAGCTTCTAGATGTCCTCCAACTGTTTGTTTTCTACCCAATAGCTAAGTAAACTTAGAAAGCAAAACAGTAGACTGGGCATTCCCCTCGGTTGCCCGATGGCTTATCATCACACTAAGAATGAAATCCACAGCTCTTATCACGGCCGCCATCTCCTCACTCCCATCTGTCCTCTGCTTCAGTCCCATGGCTGCCTTGCTGGGCCGGCTACATATCACTCCTGTCCAAGAAGCTTTGTACCTGCTGTTCCCTATGCTTGAATGATCTTCCTTCAAGTATTTCACAACCATTTCCCTCATTTTATTCGGGTTCCTACCCAAATTATTCAGGTTCCTACCCCCAGAAAGACCTGTCCTGATCACCCTTTTGAAAATAGCCTCCTCACCATTCCTCCACACTTTTCTCCACTTGTTACTCCACTTCGTTTTCTTTAGCTTTACCACACATAGACTAAATTCTTAATCTACATTGGCCATTCATTAAATTTTCCATGTGTGTTTACTGGGTGCTGACTTGATGCCACAGAATATGGTGATGAATGCCATGTAGGCAAAGCTCCTGTCCCCATGGGACTTACATGCTAATGCAACTATAACAGAAGGCATATAATAACATACATTAAGTTCTGTGAAGTACAACACAGGGGTTGAACTTTAGGGGGATTATTTATATGGGGGTGGAGATCAGGAAAGGCCTACTAGGAGGAAGAGATACCTGAACGGGGTGAGCATGAGCCACCTGACTGCTGGGGAATACAGGCAAAGACAAGCCTTGAGATGAGACAAATTTGCCAAACCAGCAAAGATTTTGAGACTGGAGAAAGCTCGGTGTACAGGGAAAACCTGAAGATGGGAGCAGACAGCTGCCTGGACCCTGTGTGTGTGACTCTGTAGCCTGGAGCAGGATTTTGTATTTTTGTTCTAAGACTGATAGGAAGCCACTGGAGGGGTTCAAGTAGGGAAAGGATTTGATGTAAGGGAGGCTCTTACCAGATCATCTGGCTGTTGGTAGAGAGTAAACCTAGGAAGGGTCAGAAGAGAAGACAGGCCAGAGCAAGCACCCAGGAAAGAGGTGATGACTGTATTAGATTGAATGGGAGTATATTCAAAGAAAACTGGTGTGTGAGTCAGCATGGGATGCTGGGGAAAAAGAGCTACATGTGACTCCTATCTACTAATAGGAAAAGGAGTCTTAATTTTTCTCCTGTTTTAACTTAGACTTGCTAAAGCATGCAGTGCTTTATACTGGAATTGCATTAAAGACAGAGAAATGGTTTTCTCAGAAAGAACGTTAAAATTTTAAGGGTGGAGTGAGTACACTGCTACCAAGATGAGTGATACCAAGATTTGGAGACTAGAGTCTTGTCCCGGAGGCTACACAGTCACATAGCTTATCTTTAAGATCCTTCACGCAATGCTCACCATTGAAAAGTAAGGTGGAGAAGGCTGAGATGACCCATCCTGATCACCAAGAGGAAGTGGTATTGCTGCTGCATCGAGAGAGCTAGGTAACTGTAACGGGATCACTAGGGCTGGGGATTTTGTATAATACTTTCCTATAAACTGTCTCATTAATGGAGAATTGTATCAATCCTAAAGCGGTAGGATTATCAAGGACTTCCTTTACAAAGGAATAAAGGCTTAGTTCACATTATAAGATGAAGGGACCCATCCAGTTGCGGTCCTGTCTTGGGTAAAGTGTGAGTGGAAGAAAGAATCATGATTATTTTCAGTTCTTTTAAAATTTTATTAGTGTGTATTCATTGAACAAAAGAACAAATTTCATTATCCTACTTGTACCATTATGTACTTTGGTCATATCTATGACCCTATAGCCCTCTCTTACCCCTCCTCCACTAGTACCCTTCTTCTAAAACCATACCCCTTCTGTTTTATCTTATTTTTCATATAAATTTTAGTTATGAGACAAAATACACAATATTTTTTTCTATGACTCTGGCTTATTTGTTTAACATTATGATCTCCAGTTTTATCAATTTCCTGAAAATGACATAATTTCATCTTTCCTTGTGGGTAAGATTCCATTGTGTACAAATAACACAATTTCTTTATTCGTCTGTTGATGGTCATTTAGACTGATTCTATGATTTGGCTGGGGCCGAAGTTGAGGCTGGTGCCAAAATAAACACAGATGTCCCACTATATGTCAACAGTGATTCCCTTGGGTACATACCCAGGAATAGTGTGCCTGTATTTTATTGTAGATCTATTTTTAGTTTGAAGATACTCTATATTGATTTCCAGAGTGGTCTCACTAGTTTTCACTCTCATCAAGGATGTATTAGGATACTCTTTTCTCTGTATCCTTGTCAGGATTTGTTGCTGTTTGATTTTTTTTGATGA